ATTAAAGTCACTTTCAAACTGAGATGATGAATACACGCCTTCCTCCTTAACCATGTTTTTTTTACTGGTTTCACATATTCTCAGTGTCACGCCAAGCCTGGCATTAGAAGCATTCTCGAAAGCTTCTAGAACATTCTCAGGGGCCCAAAGCTTCAGATCATCTCCAAGGCATAAATCATTATTTACATACATTTTAATACGTAATGTCTGTCTAATCACTTTAATAACATCCCTATGTAGGAGAAAACTGTACAGTACTGTATTTTCTGTCACATTTCTATGTGGCATATTGACATTGATTTGCTCAGTGTATTAGCTATGCCCATGGCATATTTATGTTACAGAAGAGCTTTTTTCCATTATACATGTTTTCTGTTATCCGCAGACAGTTCAGGAACATGTCTCCTGTGAATAAGGAGAACTGGTGTAATGCCTTTCTCCTTAACTTAAGATCAGTCACAAAGAGAGCATGACGCTTGAAGTACAGTAAGCCAGTGGTAGCAAGCAGACCTTGAATGCTGATGTTCTCATGTACTGTAAATAATGTTGAACGAGATTTGTCCATTATAGGCCTCCGTGTGACGCTGAGACTGCAATTATAATATCTTGCAATCTGATCCAAATTAAAGAGGGCAGTAAAGACAGTTTTTTTTTACGGTTAGAACAATGATATGAAACACTGTACCCTTATTACAGTATTTAAAGAACAGGCAAAGTCAGATGCCACAGATGCCAAAGTCGTAAGCTTTTCACTATCTGTGTATTATAGCAGGTGGGAACACTGAAGCAATACAATGTTAAATACATCTACTGCTATGTGTGACAAAGCAAGGACGATAAGTCACAAACAAATCATGGCATGTTCTTTGCATATTGAGGCATAGTATCTACAGGTTTGCAGAGCATAACTAAAATTAAAGAGGAATTTGGAAACTCTGAACTTTGAAACCAGTAAGATAGACTTGTTCAAAACACTTTGGTTTTCTGTGCCTGTAGCCTTGATTTGTTTTGGCTAGCAGCTGTTTTGTAGATAAAGTTTTGATTAAGTGTTCTCATGAGAGAACTGCATTTCTAAGAGATTAAACCTACAGTCCTATAGTATGCAAGTTAAGTGTCTGGTATCTACAAACAGTTCTTTTTTCTGCTGTGCATAATTTCTTTTAAAGGAATTTGATTTTTTTCCCAGTCTTCAACCAAAGTGGTAAAGTGAGTTTGTAGATTTAAGAGATAAATTTTAAGAACGTATAATAAGGTGAATCCTTTGCCTTACACAATCTAAATGAACTTAATGCAGTATACAAATAAATTATTAACATTATCTGTGTCTTTGTTGAGACATAGTGTAGAAAGTTATTGTCCTGCAGTATATCTCCTTATAAAAGAATCACTTCTTTCAGATTACATGGTATAGAAGTCACATTAATTCCACATTTGAAGATGGGTAACTGCAGATAGACAAACAATACACCTGAAATAATTGCTTATTATCCAGAGTTATGATCTTTAAACTCCGTTCATACTGTAGATCTAATATTTAAGGACTGAATTAGTATGACTGTTGTCAAGCCACCAAACCCAGTTATTTCCCTGTAGATTTCACTGGCAATCAGCTGATACCTTGCACACATTTTGCTTCGTTATCAGTCAGCCTCAGGAATGATCTAAGCCCACCTGTTACCTGATTATGTGTGACTTGTGTTCCTCTGACTTGGATAGAAGTTGGCCACCAATAAACAATAAATAAGAAGACTACAACAATAATTAAGAAGATTTCACAAGATAGGACACAATTATAATTACAACAATACAACAATAACAATAGAGGAGACCTAGGAAGGTGGTATTAAGAAGAGCAGAGGGGTGAAGAATGGAACCAGTCAAGTAAAGGCTTTTCTGAAGAAGGTTTTGAGTCTAGATTTGAAGGAGTTTAGAGAAGGTGACTCTCTAATATCCTTTGGCAAAGAGTTCCAGAGCTTGGGGGCATAGCAGGGGAAGGCTCTGTCGCCCATACAATGTAGACGGGCTTGGGGGACAGTAAGGAGGGCAGAATTTGAAGAGCGGAGGTTGCGAGGTGGGGAGTAGGGCGATAATAGTTCAGACAGGTATTGAGGTGTCAAGCCATG